AGTTATGTAAAAATTCAAACAACATGCTTATTCTGACCTGTACATATTAAAATATATAAAAGAATAAGGGAGCATATTAAATTTGATTGTGTTTTAAATGAGTAAAAAATTCTTACTGACAAATGGGCAAAACCTAGGATCTAGGATAGTTTGTGACAACAATTTAAAGCAGTATTACACATGTATATGTATGTATAGGTGTATATATTATATATTATGGGTACGGAAAGTATTCAGACCCCCTTAAATTTTTCACTCTTTGTTATATTGCAGCCATTTGCTAAAATCATTTAAGTTAATTTTTTTTCCTCATTAAATATGTGTATTATATATTAAAAAATGTAGTTTTTTTTCCCCCCAAACGTTTCATGGCAGGTAAGAAATATATATGACAAGTAAATTTGATAAATTCACACTCAATTAGCAGGTGCTACAAAAAATACATTTCAGACCCAATTTGCATGCCACAGATTGAAATGCGCTATAGTTGCAATGGGATTTCTGTGGGTCTAATAGAGGTTCAAATTGCCAATTTCTCGCTCACAAATGACTTCCACCCGCTCTGATCTCGCTGTTCGTTCTCTTGTGTTTATTCACATGCATGTGGTTTTACAGCGGCACACAAATCTGAGATCAGTAAATGCTTCAAATTTGCATTATCATCTCATTTGATACATTTTGATTGCAAATATGATACATAATATTATCATCTGAGTGAAGTGTTTTAAAAATGCACAGAAACTAAATCTCTATTTAGTACTTTTTTTGCAAGGACAATGCAGTTTCCATTATATAAATGGCATGTTTAGAAGTAAAACAAGTAAGCTTAGAGGAGCATCATATTGTGCAGTTAACAGTCAGGCTTCAGTCGCAGTAAATATTTAATATGTTTTGGCTGTTGCTCTGGCGAAGCTGCATCTGTGTGGCTCTATCGGCTGTTAGAGATGGAGGTCTTTCGTCAGCCAAAGGCCTGCTGTCCATTTGGCCACATTATGCTCCGGCGCTCTCTCATGTGCCATACGGACTGGCGCCGGTCCCGGCTATCAGTGCCTGAAGTGACCGGATGCCAGAGCAAAGCTTCACACGCGACACCGTAAACAATAGAGCGACACGAGAGAGATCATGTGATTCCCAAAACCACAGCACTGATCACAGAAATCAAATATTACAAATATTAACCAGTTATTTAGGCTTCAGGTATTTTTCAATTAAGCAAGCATTGCTTTTTGAAGCAATTTGTACACTCTCAGAAGAAAAAAAAGGTACAAAAGCTGTCACTGGGGCGGTATCTTTTCAAAATGTACGAAGATGTACCATTAAGGTACTAATACGTGGGTCAAAAACATTAATATGTCCGCATCAAAAGAAATTTACAGAAGTGATTATATGTCCATAGAAAGCACATTAAATGTAAGTAAAGTGTCTACTTTTAAGATTTTAAATAAGTTTTTTGAGAATAAAATTACCAAATTTGGTTGAAATAATGTTACATTGTCATTCAGTGTAACACAATATTTATGTAAAAATTCAAACAACATGCTTATTCTGACTTGTACATATTAAAGTATATAAAAGAATAAGCGAGCATATTAAATTTGATTGTGTTTTAAATGAGTAAAAAATTCTTACTGACAAATGGGCAAAACCTAGGATAGTGGCAAATTTGTGACAACAATTTAAAGCAGTATTACACATGTATATGTATGTATAGGTGTATATATTATATACAGTGGGTACGGAAAGTATTCAGACCCCCTTAAATTTTTCACTCTTTGTTATATGTTATAT